AGTGTTCCAGGTGTCCATGGGCGACGACGATTGCTTACCATCAGGCCATCCGTCTGGTCGTTTACCCGCTTACCTCAAAAAAAGATAACAAGTGTTAGTTACTCCCTCGGTTTTACTCGCTGCTTCTATTGTCTTTCTTGATATAATATGGCTGACTACCCATTACCCAACAAAAATACAATTATGTCACGGAGATTAGCGTCTTCGAGCACACAAACAAGTATAGTGGAGTACCGGATTTTTTTTGACGTGACAACGTCTTAAATTAGGTTGTGGCTGGGAGTCACTTATGAAAAAGTGTAACGCTCGGTAACGTTACGATGAGTCACCGAACGAGAGAGAGGCCCGCCGAATGCCTTGCGTCTCTCTCCCACTCAACTATGATCGGTCTGCCGCGCGCGCAGCACTATTTCATTCAATTCCTTGTTCCTATTGTGCAATTTAATTATATTCATATCAATAAATATTCTACCGAGAAAAAGACGTTGTCACGTAAAATCTTCGCCCGTAAAAACGACTTTACAGGCAACCATTTTTTTAAGAGTCGGAGGTTTGACCTCACAACGTGCTATATTTTGTAGCACTATGTGACGTCACACCATATTTTAAATGAATATATCGTCGAAAGTATTTCATTTTGTGAGAAAAGAAAAAATTCGTGTCTAAAGTTTAAAAATAAGACGGACAACATAACATAACATCACGCCTTTTATCCCCGAAGCGGTAGGCAGAGGTGCACATTACGGCACTTAATGCCACTGTACAATGTCACTTTCCACTATTTATGTTATGAGTCCCATGTAATAGGGGGTCAGCCTATTGCCATATACCGAGCACAATTCCAGACTCCGTGCTATTACTAAGATTTTTTGAAAAACCCCAGTAATAATTTTATATTTATTTTATTTATTTATTTATTTATTTATTAATAATAAAGGTACATGGTATGCCTTATAATCTAACGCCATGTCCAACAAAACTATATGTAAATAGTTTGACTGTTGGATCTTCTATATTTAAATTACTATTTAGTAGGTATTTGTAGTTTACTATGATAAGACGGACATTATAATAAAAATTTAGGAAACTACCCTACTGTTTGAATATCAAGTTCCAAGTGTGTTGCTGGTGGTCTTTAATAACAAAAGACTTCGTTAATGATGAGAAAAGACTGTATTTAAATAGATACTGATTGTAAGGGTCTACCGATATATGCGCACGGCGTCGTGTCGGGCGGGCGAGTGAATGAATGACCGCTCGCTCGCAGCGGTCGCGGGCCACGTATGGTGGTGAGCCCGATGTGGTGTCAGGAACACTCATTCTACCTTTAACAGATTTAAACGGTTCAGGTTTACAGGGAGCGCTCTTGTTCGGTCTCTATCCGGTAATCCACCCACAGATGGGGCCCAATAGGGCCGATGCCGATTCGGAGTCGCGGAGAACCTAACGGGTAACCGGGGCTCCGACTCGACGTGCAGGAGAAGAAACGGGGTGGTTTTTAGTCAGTAAGAGTCTGACACTCCCTCCCGCCTCACCCAAGCGGGAGCAGCCATTCGATGATTTTCCCCCCTTGAAAAAAAAAATCCGGTAATCCACAACGAAACGGTCGACGTGCAGGAGAAGGAACGGGGTGGTTTTTAGTCAGTAAGAGTCCGCCATTGTATACCAATTGTGTAAAAAGTTTAAATAAATAAAGTTTATCTATTCTATACTAATATTAGAGGTATAAAGAGGAAAGATTTGTACCTATTTTTGTATGTTTGTAATGAATAGGCTCAAAAAGTACTGGGCCGATTTAAAAAAATCTTTCACCAATAGAATGCTACATTCTTCCAATTTGACATAGGCTACATTTCATTTTGAAAAAAATTAGGGATCCTTGGTAAAATTTGAACAATGTAGCCGAAGGTGTAGAAAAATGAGTCTTAAAATGTCTTTCGTCGAATGCGCTGCCGAAACTATTAGCGATAGAACAAAATAATGTACAACAATATTGAAGAACATTATAATGTCTAAGTACAAAAAACTCCGCGGTAGCATATGTCCAACTATTGTAGTTATGTCACTACAACAATCCAAATTTTCAAAAATAAATATTTGTCTACCCCGTGCGAAGCCGGGACGGACATTTATACAAATCTATATATCGATATAAAAATCAATAGCAGTTCTTTAGTCTCGCTAAAACTCGAAAATAACTGAAATATTTCTGGAAGTTCATGGAAGATGAGAAAATATATTATAAACCAATTGCAAAATAATTACTTCTTAACTTTGACGATTTTCTTTGCCCATAAAACTGCTCTATAAGCTACCATCAAATAGATGACATGAGTAAATTTTTAAGAAATACGGAGCTCGCCCGATCAACTAGTTCAAAATAAGAATAAGTAGCACATCATCAACGACACATCACACGAAAAGGCCAGAAATATATCGTGTTCTTTTTCTAAATCCAAGTTATTGCCGCCTTCAGAACATTTCACAATAAAAACAAATGACATATCAGTGACGTCAGACACAAAATGACAAGGCCAGGAATATATCGAGTTCTTTTTCTAAATCCAAATTATGACCGCCTTTAGAACAATTCGTAATTAAAACAAAAGACATGTCAATGACGTCAGACACAAAGTGAAAAGGAAAGAAACATGTTCTTTTTCTTTTTATAACTCCAAATATTACCCGCCTATTAAACATTTCACAACTGAGCAAAAGTATCCCACGCGAAAAGGTATAACATTAATCGTGACGTTTGCTGAAGGCGGATTAGTGATTTCAAACCTAGAATTTTGAAATTTAAACTGTCAAATACCAAGCGGTCACCGGTGACCGCAACCTATTGTTCTATAATTGTGTCTGCAAAACCGGTACTCGACGAGTTAAAGCGAAGGTATTTCTTTTTAAAAGGTCGGCAACGCACCCGTGGCTCCGCTGGTGTCGCGTACGGCGCGTCGCGTTCCGCGCGCGCCTCAAAGAGCCATCTGACCACCACAGATGGGGCCCAATAGGGCCGATGCCGATTCGGAGTCGCGGAGAACCTAAAGGGTAACCGGCTAAACTGTCAAATACCAAGCGGTCACCGGTGACCGCAACCTATTGTTCTATAATTGTGTCTGCAAAACCGGTACTCGACGAGTTAGAGCCATCTGACCACCACAGATGGGGCCCAATAGGGCCGATGCCGATTCGGAGTCGCGGAGAACCTAAAGGGTAACCGGGGCTCCGGCTCAACGTGCAGGAAAAGGAACAGGGTGGTTTTTAGTCAGTAAGAGTCCGACACTCCCTAACGCCTCACCCAGGCGGGAGCAGTCATTCGATTATTCCTCCCCTCCCCCAAAAGACCTCTCTGCCTATCTTTTCAAGAAGGAAGTCTTCAGGAAAAGAAATCACTTTCTAACCCAATCAGAATTAATACCCCGCTATGTGTGCTTACAGGCTTTGCCGAGAGTACCAGTATCAGTTGTCTATAATAATAAATCAAAACGAATTTCCTTTCGTTAGTCAGCGAGACTGACGTCGAGAAAGTTGAGAACGGGTGAAACGATTTGGCTAATTTTGGTTTTGAAATGTTCATGGAAGTCAAAGTCAAAGTCGAAATCATTTATTTCAATTAGACCAGAAAGGCACTTTTGAACGTCAACATAAAATTTAAAAGTGAAGCTATTTGCTAGTTCCGAGGTGTAGATTCCTATGGAGAAGAACGAGCAAGAAACTCCATAGGTTACTCTTTTTTAAAATCAAGTAGAGGGAATGTTGAATAGGTGAGAAAAAAAGCATATATACGTATGGTCGAAATGAGAAGCTCCTCCTTTTTTGAAGTCGGTTAAAAAATAGGCGGTACCTACGAAGTTTGCAGGGTCAGCTAGTTTATGATAAAATAATTCAAATCTATCAATTTTAATTGTGGGAGAGCCATGCTTCGGCACGAATGGGCCGGCTCGACCGGAGTGGTACCACGGCCGAGCAGAAACCGACGTGAAGCAACGCTTGCGTTGTGTTTCGTCGTGTGAGTGAGGTTACCGGAGGCCCAATTACCCTCCCCTTCCCTGTCAATCTCCCCAATCCCTGAATCCCCAACGATCCTCAAACTCCTAATCCCCAAAACGCCGGTAACGCACTTGTAACGCCTCTGGTGTTCCAGGTGTCCATGGGCGACGCCGATTGCTTACCATCAGGTGATCTGTCAGGCCGTTTACCGGCTTATGCCATAAAAAAATCTATTCAGTAGTTCAGGAAAAACGTGTGAAAAATATCCTTACAATCTTTCGCATTTGTTATATTAGATTAATACGAAGTAGCAACCTAGTAAAATACGACAAAAATAGAATATCAATATTTAGTTGGGATTTAAAGAAGATTATTTTGACCGTTGGTCGAGTGGTCGCAGAGGATTTCCGAGCCGAGTCGAGCAAAGTATTACTGGAGTTTTTAATCTGTGGTCTGGAATAATTTTATTGTGCCCGGTATATGTGGTAATATGTGGAAAATGTTGTGGATATTACATTAATTTGGTTTTATGTACTTCACTGATGGATATTAGATAATATAATGTAATATTGGTTTATTTTCCCAAATAAAATAAAATATATCGCAATCGGTTCACCCCCTATTACATGGGACTCATAACATAAATAGTGAAAAGTGGGTGTTACATTGTACAGTGGCATTTAAGTGCCGTAATGTGCATCTCTGCCTATCCCTTCGGGGATAAAAGGCGTGATATTATGTTGTGACCTGCGCAGTGCAGACAGAACATTCTAGACACTAGTCTATGCACTAGCATACGACGCATGCAGAAGGTCCACGTCGCTCAATGCGCGGGGTCATATATTCATATCATACTACTAATCACTACATAGTATAAAACAAAGTCGCTTTCTCTGTCCATATGTCCCTTTGTATGCTTAAATCTTTGCAACGGACGCAACGGATTTTGATGCGGTTTTTTTAATAGCTAGAGTGATTCTTAACCCACTTGTTGCGATCGTTCTTTTAAAAGGTCGATGTATAAATAAAATTATTGTGAACAATGAGGGTATTTATAACATTGTTGTTTCTATTCATTCGACGGGTCTTAAGTGTACGAAGCGGACACATCATTCATTGTTCGTGATTTAATTAATCTTCTATTTTGTATACATTTTTGATTTCAAGGTTTTAACTATGAAGAATTCAAGGTAAGGAATGATAACTATAACAATATGTTATTTTTTCAAGAAGGCTAGAACTTAGTTATATGCTGCCTAAATTAAAGTTTGATAGCAATGTCAGTATTTTATTGTCATTACAAATATGTATTTTATTCAGTTTTAATTGCCGTCCTTTTAAACAACCAATAGCAAAATCTGTTACTATCATCTTTTATGTGTTTCAGATATCAAAAAAAGTGGTCTCGGCATTTGACGCTAAATGAAATAGTTGAAAAGTTAGAAGAGGATGATGAAGAGGAAGTACCTGATTCCATTATCATTCTGCCTCCTGAAAACTGCAATGCTGATGTCACTGATGAGGATTCAGGTGATGAAAACCAAGTTTCTCTAGACAATTTACCCGGATCTCAGTTACGGGCGCTGGGAGAAGCCTGTTTCCAGTCAGAAAATTGTAGTGATGAGGATGATGACATACCACTCATGCAGTTATCTAGACGCAGACGCGTGGTTTCTACTGAATCAGATCTCGCTTCTCAGTCAACATCCACCATCGAGTCTACGGGTCATATTATAACTGTCTCCAAAAAAAAGACATATGATTGGGTGTCACGGGACATTCGCCCAAGTTTTGAGCCATGGCAATATATGCAGACCACCAGAACTCAATTTAGCCCTTTACAATATTTTCAATTGGTGTTTGGCGAAGACATTATAAATATGTTTGTACATTACACAAATTTATATGCAGCCAAAAAAAATGCAAACACGCATTTTCACAGCAAGAAAAAAAATATGTACTTGTTGATCAGCCATCTGTCGTTAAGAAATATGATGAAAACATGGGGGGAGTCGATAGATCCGATCAAAATATAGGTCTGTACAGAACGTCAATTAGGGGAAAGAAATGGTACTTCTCTTTGATTTGCCACGGATTGGACATGGCCTTACATAATTCTTGGCAACTATACAAAAACAACGGAGGTGAATATGACTTCCTTCACTTCCGCAGAAGTGTGGCAACAGCTCTTCTGGAAACGTATAAGAAAAGATCAGATCGTAAAGCAACTCGTGTCTCCCAAAATTTTCGCGAAGATTCCCGATTTGATGGAAAAGATCACCTAATCAGATACAGAGACAATCAACTTCGGTGCTTTGAATGTCATAAAAAAGCCAATTTTTACTGTCCTAAATGTAATGTTACTTTGCATCCTAAGTTTTGCTTCGAAAGCTTTCATATTCCAAAATAAAACTGTGTGAAACCTATAGTCTTATTTTATTTCACCTATGAATACCATAGCAGTACATATTGCTAGCGTTCTTTTAAAAGGACGGCATTTTCCAACTTTCCTAATTGAAGAAAAATTTTTTTAATATTTTTTTCGTATACAATATAGCATTATTAGCATTATATGTTAAATTTATTATGATATAATCAAAAAAGTTGTTTCAGGAACAAGTGGGTTAAGGAAAGTTTATATGTATAATACATGCATATTGCACCCGTGCGAAGCCGGGGCGGATCGCTAGTATATTATAATAGAGAAATTTTGTTTGTTTGTTATTCCTTCACGTTAAAACGACTGAAGGGATCGATACATATAAACACAAACTTTTGTATATTATATAAAACTAGCGGACCCAGCAGACGTTGTCCTGCATATCCACTTGAATGTATAAACAAAAATTCATTCAAACTAGTTCAGCTGTTTAGGATAAATAACCTAAACAACGACTGCAGCGCCATCTGCCGGGCTAATTTGTGAATCTAAACCATTTCCAGATCCCCTTGAACACACAAAAAATTTCAAAAACACACACAGAAATCGGTCCAGTCGGTTGAGAGAAGTTCAGTGACATACACACTCACAGAAGAATTATATATGTAAAGATTAGTAAGATGACATAACCTAGACATTTATCCGTCCAACCTTCTGATTGATTTGTTCAGTGACACAAATACCAATTGCATTGTATAGTTCATATCAAAGTATTGATTGTGACCTGCGCAGTGCAGCTAGTCTGGACTAGACTGGATGCATTAGTGCGTTGACCGCTGTCTGCACCGGCCACGGAGTGATGAGAAGATCCTTCAGTTGTGTTCCATCTTCCATGATCAAGAGTCTAAGGTAAGAAATAGTGTTTTTTATCCGATGTTTGACCACTATCTCGCCTGGTGATGCGGTCTACGATGGATCACGTCGTCCCATAAGCAACCTATTCACTCGGGCCTTGAAGACACCCAGATTATACCATTCAGGATATACAAACTCTGGCAAAGACTTTTTTGTCTGCGATTGTGTGCTAACTGTCAGACAGATCTGCTGCCAGTGGCGTGATGAGATCATTGTCCGATCAGGTATACCCTTGGCTGAGAGAACTGCCTTCATCCTCATCGAGCCTATAAGTGACCACTGCTGAGCAAATGCCTCTTCTCACACAAAGATTTGAGCATTAATGACAACGCTTGCTCAATGCGGGTTGGCGATTACAAACTTATAATTAAAGTTAAAGATAAAATCATTTATTTCATTTAGACCAGGAAGGCACTTTTGAACGTCGAAAAAAAACATTAAAAAGAAAAAGTTAGTCTATCTATTAGATATTATAAGCCCAGGTTTCCTCACGATGTTTTCCTTCGCCGTTTGTCAGTGGTGTCTAAATAATCTTAGAAAGTACGAATAACTCGGAAAAAGTCACATTGGTACTTGCCGTTGGTAGGTTTCGAGCCCGCACCCTCGTGCATTAGAAGCGGGCGTCCCCATATATCCCCAAGCGCTTACCGGTGACCGCTACTAACTACATTATATACCTTATTTCCAATGTTTAGAGACTACTTTTGTATGAACAAATTTAGGGGATGATTTTTAACATTTTTAACAGATTAAATGTCCGAACCACCACGACATATCTCAAAGAACTCCTCATTATTTCTTTTTAACTCGTCGAGTACCGGTTTTGTAGACACAATTATAGAACAATAGGTTGCGGTCACCGGTGACCGCTTGGTGTTTGACAGTTTAAAACCATTGAGTTTCCCTGCTGTGTCGTGGGTGCGTTTACAAACATACAAGTTCACATACACATCACACACAGACCCGGAACAACAATTTGTGGATCACACAAACAGCTTATATTACAACATTCGTGAGACATCCAAAATTAATACTTATATTTTCGGCTTACTTACGTAATTATTTGACGAGGAACTCGACTAGTTTTAAGCCTTGTTAGATGCGCATATTCATGAGCAGCATTCTGCTAAGCCGAATGTAATTAACGAAAAGAATTGTTCAGTGCGAGAAACGAATCCAGGACACGATGCACAGCCCAGCCACCACGCTAACCGTGCAATCTTCATCATTATCATCGGGGAGACTGCTGAATAAAGGCCTCAACCTTCACACTCCTTCAGTTTGACTGCACTGTTGGTGATTCCCGCACGGAACAACACTTGATGATCCCGCACGGAACGCATTGTGTGATCCACAAATTGTTGTTTCTGGTCTGGGTGTCATTATGATTATGTATGTGAACTTGTATGTTTGTAAACGCACCCACGACATAAGAGAAAATTTTTTTTTTTTTCTTTGGCAACCGAGTCTCCAATACTATGTTGTCGACTATACTGCCGGTGTCTAGTGGTGACGGCAGATTGAGGCACCGTCGAGTTTTAACTTAAATCCTAATGTGGGGCAACGTTTTCTTTAATAATGTCAAAGTCAAAGTCAAAGCATTTATTTCAATTAAACCATAATTTGCTACTTTTGAAACGTCAAAAAATACAAAATAAATAATAGTCTGTCAGTCAGTCCGTCAGTGAAGCTAGGTGAAGCTAGGCGCTCATTCCAAAACGTAGATTCGAATGGAGAAGAACGAGCAAGAAACTCCATAAAAAAAATTAATAAAGACTGTTTGCTTCTAAAAATGTTGCGTCGTTTTTCACTGTGTGTATCGAGTCTGCACAAAGGCCGGCGATGCACTAGCACTCCTATGGTGTTGCAGATGTCTATGGGCGGTACAATAGGCATGGCGACTATTTTTTAATTTTTGGTCCGTCTTTTAGATATTTTAAAAATCTTCGATACGTATTTTTCTTTTTTCTCGTATCCAAAAAAACATGTAGATATTTTGAGTTAAAATGACGCGTGACGTCACAATTAGGTACGATTTCTCCGTAAGTGTGACGTCAACACCCCCCACTCCCTAACTTTAATGCGGAATATCTACGTATTCTTCTGTTAATATGATAAAACAAAAAATACGTGTCTGATATTTTCGTGCGATCTTAATGACGGACTAATTACTTTTTTGATTTTTTTACCCTGTCGACACGCCTATTCACTGATCATCAGGCGAATGCGTCGCTTATTTCCCTCTTCCCACCAAAAAAAGATACCTTCTGTTGTTGTGATTCACTTCGTTGCGGGAACCAAGACAGTTACTCATGTCCCTGGGACGCGGTGGACTTCAGTGTCCCGGTGTCTTCATAGTTGTATATACTGTAGATCCTGGACTACAGGAGTTGCAGCGGTTATGAGAGGTTGTGGCGGGCTCGTCCTTTTAAAAAACCTATATAGGTTTACTATATACTTTCCGTTGTCCGGTTTTCTTATGACAGTTGCTGTTTCAGGAGCTGATGGTGTACCTTGCTTATGAAAAATTAGTTTCCTGATCAGCTGGGAAGCAATACATCATGGTGCAAGCTACTACGAATGGGAGGTATCCAGATGAAGCTGCTGCTGGCGTATGCTCCATATCTTCAAAAGTTACGAGTTCTGGAAGATTGTGGTAAGTAAATCTTGTATGAATGATTGAAAGCGCAACCCAACCCTACTAATATTGTCGCGGAGATCCTAACGGGTAACCGGGGCTTCGGCTGGACGTGCAAGAGAAGGAACGGGGTCATTTTTAGTCAGTAAGAGTCTGAGACTTCCTCCCGCCTCACCCAGGCGGGAGCAGTCATTCGATGATTTTCCCCCCTAAAAAAACCCTACTTATTATGGTATATATATAAAGTTATAAATGTATAAATGCGAAAGTTTGTGACGATGTGTGTGTGTGTGTATGTGTGTGTACTCTTTCTCGAAAACGGCTGAAGGGATCGAGATGAAATTGGGAAGAGATAGAGAGTGACTGAGATTTCGAGTAGATTATAACGAATGTAGTTTGGGATAAGTAATTGCACTTGCGACTAACTGCGACATTAATATAGATTTGAACTCGTTGAGTACCGTCATTATAGACACAATTAAAGAACAATAGGTGTGCGAACACCGGTGACCGCACGGTATTTGACAGTTCAAGGATATACTAGAAACAACATGTGACATACATGTATCGGCGATATGTTGAATGAAGACAGCTGATGTCGTCTGACGTATAAGGCGACAACGCGCTCCTTGTCCACAGCGACGTTGATGTTGTCAGACATGTCGACCAAAGACCGGCAACGTCGCGCTACTTCACTGGACGACGCTAGCGACACGTGTCGCAGGATATTCGTACCCTTGTATATCCTTGGCTTAACAAAAATATCCGTTTATTAATTTATAGAATTCATCGCCAATGAACGGACAAAGCGCTAATCTTTATTTTAAATAAAAGAATTAATATTACTATTATTTTCTTTACAGAACCATTATGCTACAAGGTCATCGTGGAACCAGCCACGTACTGTCCACTGCTTCCCAGACTACACATCGCGAGGTTGGAAGCGACCTGCATACAGCAACGCCCGACCTTTATCAGGTCGTCAGACCACCGTGTGAGTGGACATCCTACACTGCACCTATCAATACGTGGTCTCCGAAGCGCATTAAGCTTAGACAGCACCCTTAGCAAGCACTTCATGGGCGCCTCTAATTACTGTAACCTGACCTCCTAGTCACTTGCCGGATGATACGGTTCTGCGAAGCCTTCACTCGAGACGATTATGAAGATGGGGTGTAAGTGGCTCCTCCGACATCAGAAGAGCCAAAGTCAACCTCACCTGCCCGTGGTACACCCTGCTGATTATCAAAGGAGAATCAACTAACGAGGCTCTGGCGCTCCAGACCTTCCTCAATGTAAGTCCTGAACCGAGGGCAATCACGACGGTTGCTTACCATCAGGCGATCCGTCTGTCCGTTCGGCCCGAACAGCTAACCATCAGCTTTACAGGAATACATTGAGGAAGGTCGTTCATTGAAGAGATTCTTTAGACCAAAGGTTTCCTGTCTAAAGGACTTCTTCGACTTTGTTTACTGGTATTTCATCCAGTATAGGGGTTGACATCTTATTCATTTACGTCTGAATAACATGTCTACCCCCGTTTGTAAATAACTATGTTTAGGTGCATCTAACATGTTGGTGTTTATGTCTTACATGAAAAACATATATATGAATTACCTGTACAAAATAAAAATAATTAAATAATTTTGTCGTTTTATTTTGTACTGTCAGTGTTTTTGTAGATCGGAGCGAGGGGGATTGGGATGCCGTCTCCTCCTTTTGCGAAGCAGTCATGCTAGCTAAGGAGGAGGCGGGACGCGTGAGGCAGCGAAGCGCTGCCTCCTCGCAACCCAGCCATCGCGAAGGACACACCGAGCGTCGGGGATCGCGGGACGATCTCCGGCCACCGTCAGCGCGGGCCGGAGGACATACAGCATGGGTGGCTCCCCGTCCGACCAGAAACAGACCCGAGCGTACGGCGCCGAGCGTTCCGCGCGCGCCTCAAAGAGCCATCAGACCACCACAGATGGGGCTCAACAAGGCCGATGCCGATTCGGAGTCACGGAGAACCTAACGGATAACCGGGGCTCCGGCTCGACGTGCAGGAGAAGGAACGGGGTGGTTTTTAGTCGGTAAGAGTCTGACACTCCCTCCCGCCTCACCCAGACGGGAGCAGTCATTCGATGATTTTCAACCCTCAAAAAAAAAAGGGTTTTTGTAGATAGAAAGAGGAGAAGAAAGAAAGAAAATATGTTTATTTCCAGCGTAACAAAAATGGTAAAAGTGTACACGGCGAAAAAGGCCAAGTCTTAGTGCTCAATTGTATTGTGAACCTGATTGAAAAAGAGTAACCTATGGAGTTTCTTGCTCGTTCTTCTACATAAGAATCTACGCCTTGGAATGAGCAAATAGCTTCACTTTCAATTTTTTTTGTTGACGTTCAAAAGTGCCATTCTGGCCTAATTGAAATAAATGATTTTGACTTTGACTTTGACTTTGCTCAGCTGAAATGCCGTGACCCGAGAGCGGTAACTCGAGTCGCGGTGATTTTCATCACTAGCCCATTGTACAACAATGATAATACAAAGTAAATAAATAAGATACTCCCAAATGTAGATAGTTAAGTATACTTAACTATTTTTTTAAGGGGGAAAATCATCGTATGGCTTCTCCCGCCCGGGTGAGGCGAGAGAGTCAGACTCTTACTGACTAAAAACCACCCTGTTCCTACTCCTGCACTAGCCGGAGCCCCGGTAACCCGGTAAGTTCTCCGCGGCTCCGTATCGGCATCAGCCCTAGTGGGCTCCATCCGTGGTGATCCGATGGCTATTTAGGCACGCATAGAACGCGACTCGCCGTACGCACGGGCGGCGAGCTACCCTTGTTCGACGTCCGACGGTGGCCGGAGATCGTCACGCGATCCTCGACGCACTCCGGGCGTCTCCTGCGACGGCTGGGGCGTCAGGAGGTTCATCCACTCCCCATGTCCTCCTTAGATAGCATAACTATACCTATTATAGGTTTCTATTGCCGTATAACCAGGCTAATGGGTAGGTACTAAGACTTTCCGACTGCACGGTTCACGCTGGCTGAGATAATGCCTGCCGCACAACCTGTCGCGGCTTCGATTCCCGCACAGAACAACTCTTTGTGTGATCCACAGATTGTTGTTCGGGATCTGGGTGTCTTGAGTATGTGGACTTGTATGTTTGTAAACGCAGAATATAGGTACCTGTTTATTTATAATTTTATCTACAATTTAACAAACACATTGTACTAATACAATATCATGTTGACCAATGACGGGGTAGGGTAAAAGAAAAACAGCACTTGAAATATGTAAAGCAGTATTTAATAATATAATGTTCATTCCGAGTCGCTGGAGTCGGAGGCGGCCTCAGCTACCTCCGCGGTGAACTTGTACTCCTGGTCGGCGCCGAGGTAGGCGTCCGACATGAAGTATAGAGTGTACGTGTGACGCCCTGGGGCCCCGCAGACGAAGTCCAGGCGGACCTGGGGGGTTGGGCCGTATTGTTAGTGCCGTAGGGTCCATTGTCGTCACTAGACGCGGACTGAACATGCTAAAGTAATGAACACACGTCGAAGAGAACCTTCGAACATAATTTGTTCCAGTCAATGAAGATCGATTCTATTTATTGTAATTTGTCAAGTAGTATAACATCATTGATCACGCCTTCTATACTCTAAAGAGGTGAGCAAAGATATACAGGTGGAATATTGTAATGCTACCTAAAGGGGAAATACTCTCAATACTCGAGGTAGAAAATTTTACTCAAAGAAAACTTTCCTTTATTTTTGAAAAGAAACAAAACTTCATTCAAATATTTTTAAAATTCGCTTGCCTCACACGGTAATAGAACCTGCTAAATTCTGTAAAAGTTGCACCATGTACATTTATTGCATCGATTGTTAGGGTCAATGAGAATGAAATCTGTTTAACAAACTTTATAAATCGATCGATGCAATAAAAGTGCAAGGTGCAAACTTTGATAGATTTTAGTCGGTTCGATTACCGTGTAGCTTGTCTTAAGCTAATTTTTGATAATCTTTGCATGCAGCGCTGTTTCTCTTCAAAACTAAAGGAATGTTTCTATCTAAAGTATCTATTGTATATACTTTCAATATTCCACCGTGTATATTATTACACTGGCGCCCGAATACTGACAGGTCAATTACAAGTCGTACTCAAACATCGTGTCGTCTCTGTCATTGTACTAACAGTTCGTAGACGGAACTATACGTCAGCGCGACTTACGATCGAGTGTCGTTTGAATATTGCGACATTAGTGGCAGACGTTTGAGACATCAATAATAACGAAACACAAAGTGAGTGCACTAGTTACACTCCGTTGACTAATTCGGCCCAGGAATCGAACCTAAAACGCCTTGCTCGGCCGTCAATCTCTAACTTAGTTTTCATAACGTCCCGCCTGTCCCCCGCGGGGGTAGGCAGAGACCGTGGGACGCCAGTACATAAATAAACACGTATTTACCTTGGCGCTGCGAGCCAGCGACACTCTCTTGATGGAGAGCAGTGTGTTCGTCTTCGGGTCACCGATCACCACCCACCAGCCTTCCTCGCGTTTCTGGAAATAATTCCGAGCATTCAATAATTATAAGGGAACTACTCGAACTCCTCGCCAGACGTAATAATAAACTGCGAGGCGATAGACCGACAAATGATAGCCGATGTCACCATTCCCCGCGACGAGGACCTCGTGGCAGCTGAGGAAGATAAACGAATAAAATATCTAGACTTGGCTCACGAGCTGGTCGACATGTGGAGGTGGACTCGACTATCATTGCGTCGATAGTCGACCATTCTTCGTTCGGGACCAGCCCGCCACAACCTCCCGATACCGCTGCAACTCCTGTAGTCCAGGATCTACAGGAGATACGACCATGAAGACACCGGGACACTGAAGTCCGGCGCGTCCCAGGGACATGAGTAACTGTCTTGGTTCCCGCGACGAAGTGAATCAGAAGATATTATAAGAGGGGTCGGGTTGGTTGGGTCCATCCCTAACTGCCTCGACGACCTTAGGAGGCTGGCGTTAGGGGGACGGGTCGAGGGCCTGATGCAGAGTAATCGTGAGGTTTCTGCGGTAGTGGGTTCGAGCCCGACCTGCGGGAAGAAGGGCGCAATGACAGGTCCGACGATGTCGTCCTCTCTCTCCAGGGACACCTCCACTACTATCGGCTTGCCGGCGCGGAGGTGGCGCTCGTTCAGGACCTGGAATGTTCCAACATATTATATTTTATTCAAATGTCAGCGAACAGACAATTGTCTCGTGAATTGTGCGCCTGTAACGACACTAATATAATTGTTCTAATATCATGAACCGTGTGGGATTGTCTTTTGAAAAACTAGACAGACATTTAAAACTTAGTCTCACTCGGGAATCGAACCTAAGACAACAACAGTCACGTGGTAACAGCAGATAATAATGGACCACGCCCACTCTTCTCGTGGGTATGTAATACCCACAGATACAAATTTAAATAATTCTCTCAGTTACTTGAGAATCGAACTCAAAATAATATCACTCATTCCCGCGGGTGTGTAATACCCATTATAATACAAATTCTAAAAATACTTTACTCAGGAATCGAACCCAAGACAATAACGACCGTATGCTCACGAGACAGAGTAGAATACATCTACTACCAATTCCCCACCTCCGCTCCTCCCGCGGGTGTGTCATACCCGACCCTGGAGATTGCTCACCTCGTAAGTCAGTTCGACGTTGGGGTATCGGTTACAGAAGCGCGCCACGTCTGCCATCTCTGTCGGTGACAGCTGCAGTAGTTTGGCGCGAGCGTTGTCTTCTAGTTCCATCACGTCGAACACTGTCTCCACTCCCTGGACAGTAAACGAACTATTGCAGGAGGAATCGACTCCTGGCGAGGACGGGGACAAAGGCGGACAGTCCCCCGGAGGACATCTGGCATCGTCTCAGTCTGTACCGGGGGAGCATTACTCGCGCAGACATACTCCGCCGCCGGTTTGGGGCTTCGGCCGGTTCTAGGGGACATCGTGTCCGCCTTCATTATATATTTGTATACAATGTAACCCCCACTTCCCCCCGAAGTACTAGGAGGAGAATTACTACTATCGCCACACCCTTTTACGACCCGGACATCGAATCCGAGATCTCTCACTCGACAGTCGTGTCGGTGACCACTCGACCAACGAAGTAATCAGTCACAATAAATGCAGTATTGATTCCGGAGTAACGAGGAGTTGACTGTCTGCCCAGAATGTCGCTAGCTTCGAACCGATTTCATTTTGCATCCGTAGACACGGATTTGTTTTAACAATTACTTTAAATTACACATCTCACATGGAGAAGGTCTGAGCATATAGCATATAATTAGAAATTATAAGCCCAGATTTCCCAGGTGTCTAAATAATCTTAGAAAGTACATATAACTGCCGGTGGTGGGTTCCGAACTTGCCCTCGTGCATGAGAACCGTCCCAACCTCCGGCCACCGCGACACGGCCGAGATATCGATACGACTGCCAATACACCAATTACAAAGCGTCGACTAGTTCCCCATACCTTCTCGGAGCACCTCTGCACCAGTTCCGCGGTGAAATGCGGCAGCTGCCTGAGGTAGGAGTCCTTGGCCCACATGGCCTGCGTCACCATCTGCGCCAGCTCCATGGCCGCCACCGCCGGGGACAGCCAGCCACTGCTGGACACCACGTCCACGCACGCCTGGATCAGGCGGATGGCCTGCGGGAGGGACTTCTACGGTTACATCGCGGGCCTCGCGGACATTGTAAGCGAACAGAGGTACACTATGGTCTGGAATGACAAGAGGCTAGAATAAACATGTTCTCTTCGCTTATTTAAAACTAGCTACTTCCGCGCGGTTTCACACGCTCTGCTCAGCTCCTGTTGGTCGTAGCGTGATGTTTTATAGTCTATAGCCATCCTCGATAAATGCGCTATCCAACACAAAAAGAATTATTCAAATCAGACTTGTAGTTACGGAGATTAGCGCGTTCAAACAAACAAACAAAAAAACAAACTCTTCCGCTTTATATAATAGTATAAGATAAGATGATTTAAGATCTCTGACGTGAACTGTTCATGGATGCTCGATAAATTTCAGTGTCTCCGGTGAGATTCGAAAGTAGTCGAGCTCCTTCAATGAGTTTAAGTTGTCCTCAAATATCGCACTAACTCTGTCATTTACAAAGTTCACAAAATCTAAACTAATATATCAAACAAGTTTGTTCGAACGCGCTGATCTTCGAAACTAGTGATTCGATTCGAGACATTCTTTTTGTATTGTATAGTCCGATTACCGAGGAAGGCTATAGTCTACGAAACATCACGCTGCGACCAATAGACGTCCAGCAGCGAGTGGAACAGCGCACGAGGAGGTAGTAAAGAATAATGTATGAGAACCGTGCAAGTTGATTCTGTAGTGGTCTTTAGAGGACATTATCTTGATGATTCTCTTTTCTGCAGCTGGGAGTGGCCTGTCGATGGAAGGATCGGCCCTTAGTACGAACTAATCGACCAACTGACTATAGTTTGTTATATAAATATTCCTCATTTCTTTTAGTTTTATTTCATGTTGTTCACTCTCCTGTGTTCACTTGACGCATGCTGAAACAGTCTGTAATTGGCTCGAGGATTGTAAGTCTCGTAATTATTATACATGTAGCCTGTTGAGGTTTCTGAGTGGAAATAAATAAAAGATGACGATGAAGAAGCCTGACCTTGGCCAGCACGAGGCCAGTATCCGCCTGCAGCTCTGCAGGTAGCTGCATCCGAGAGAGATGTGCTTGTAACAGTACGTGGGCCTTCACGTGTGGGTCGTTGTATTTGACCGGAGCGCCTGACGCCGCGGTCGGCTTGTGGGGGACCCTGGGGGAAGACAGGCGATATAAATCATTCATTCAAATAATATACTACTAAAACCTCCTAGATCACACCGCATCAACATCGGTACATGATACACACAGACAGGTCAAGCTGACAACTTCCCTTCTTTCTGTTCAAAGTCGGTTAAAAATGAACAAATATTTTGTTTCCGTGTCTACTCACTTGGCAGCTAACGCCTTGATGATATTCTCCTCTCGGTGTCTGATACACAGCTCGGAGTACTCCGCGGCCGAGGATATGATCTCCAGCAGGCCACGGATCTTCGTCTTATTTGTGAGGGAGAGGGAGAACAACTCTGAAATGAATAAATAAAATGTTAATTATATAATTTAAATAAGGAGGTTTATATTCAATCGTACCAAGACAATGTTTATTTTTGTGGTAAAATGTTATTGTTGTGAAAACGAACACGTATCTGTCGACGTATCAATCCGTCAACCCTTCAATCCATCAGTCAATCAATTCTTTTATATATCTAGTCAGTCGGTAGAGTCAATTTTGTAGTTAATTAGTCAGTCAGTCAGTCAGTCAGTCAATTTCAGTCTTTCAATCAGTGGCTCAGTGAGTCAGTCATTTCATTAGGCTGTCAGCAAGCCAGCCAGACAGTCAGTAAGTCAGTCAGTCAGTATGACACTTACCTATAGTAGTATAGTTGATATAGTAGTAGGACGCGATCATCCCCAAGTTGAGTGGCTGGACGTCCATGTCATCCTCGATGGCGATGCACTTGGACTGCTCCAGGTCCGTCAGGGTCGTCTCCACCAACTCTGACAGGTGGTCCGATAGGTGCCTGGTGGAAGTTGGAAACATTTTCTTAATACATTTGATAAAGTCTACTATTAATGTGTGTTCGTGTAATAATGTACAAGTGTGGGCTCGCCATGCTTCGGTCTTGCAATGTCGGCTCGACCGGAGTGATACCACCAACGAGCAGAAGACCAACGTGAAACAACGCTTCTCTTCTCCCCAATTCCTAAATCCCCAATAATCCTCACATTCCTAGTAACGCACTTGTAACGCCTCCAGTGTCCCGTCTTACCGTCAGGCGATCCGTCTGGTCGCCTGCGCCTAAAGCCTATCGCCAGCTATGTCCGTGGGACTGACCTGTGAGTGACTCCCTGCAAGTTGTAGTAATTAGGGTTCTGCGTCAGACGGCGGTAGAGGAAGGTCCAGGTGAGGTAGTCGACGGCGTCCTGCTTGTTCTCTATAGTCTTGGTTACGATCTCCGCGTTCATGTGGTCGTGGAGTCTGTGGTCGAGGTGACTCTGTAATTGAAATATTGGAAAAATATAATATGTATGATATAATATGTATAATGGCTCTAAGCCAGGAGTAGTCCAGCGTACCTCGAGCGGCAGGCAGTCGTTGAGCAGCTTGGTGAAGAATGTCTTGTGGTGCGCGACACACATGAGCACGACGACGGCGTGCTCGTCGTCCAGCGGCCTGCGCGCGCGCCCCGACATGCTGCAGCCCTTCCTCAAGAGGGTCAACGACAAGGTACGCCGGCCGCCGCCCCGCGTGCCGGACCACCGCGTGGTAGATGGGCTTCGTCATGGCGGCCAGGCCCTGGGGGATATGTCACTGCGCCACGTCGCGAGCGTCCGCTAGGGGCAGCGAGAGAGCTACCATACGGATTTGACCGCCTCCCAGCCTCCCAGAACCGCTGCAACTCCTGTGCACCAGGATCTACAGTAGATACAACTATGAAGACAACGGAACACTGAAGTCCGGCGCGTCCCAGGGACATGAATAACGTGATCGACATAAAATTGCTAGATTGTTCAAGCCATTAACGGACGTTTGGGGCGAGCTTATAACTGAATGGCAGTGTAAATGGGAATCTTCTATTAACGACCGCCACCTATATCAGTTCTTCCTATTCGTGCATGAGCGGCTGGAGAGGACATGGTTGGAGGTGGATCACTGTGTTGCCCAATTTCTTACTGGCCACTACTTCTTTAAACTTGTTCATTCACCATGGTGCCAATGTTCGACAGCGGAGCTGCAATACGACCAGTCCGCCCATCACATACTCTGGGAGTGTGATCTCTGGCAATATGAACGTAACACGAAGTTAAATAATTTAATTGTTTCGTCAGGTGTAGCTTATTATGCGGACCTTGTGGAATCTAGAACAAATTTCCGTGCGTTTAGGCGCTTTTGCCATACCTATTATTGGAAGCAAGTATAACAGCTCACACATATGACCCACTTAGTTTTTAATCAAAATTCCGTGGTGCTTGTCGACTGGGCTTCTGTTGTACAGTCTCTTTTTGTGCCTTTAGGCTTAATTCATTCTGTCTCCTGCAGTAATTCACCGAGGGAAGTGGAAACTATCGTTTTTATCTTCTCCTCTATTAATATCTTCTGATTCACTTCGTTGAGGGAACCAAGACAGTTATTCATTCAGTGTTCCGGTGTCTTCATGGTTGTATGATAGACTTAAGATATTTGTTTTCTCTTGGTTTTGTTTTTTTTTATTTTAGTACGTTCTGTTATTTGTATGATGCGTCAGGTATGTGTTTACATTATTCTCACATGTGTGTACAATATTGGAATATGTATCAGAGCAGTGTAAAACAGACTTTTTTTTAAAAGAGTAACGAATAGAGTTTCTTGCTCGTTCTTCTCCACTCGAATCGACATTTCGGAACGAACGCCTAGCTTCACTGACGGACAGACTGACAGACTATTATTAATTATTTCATATTTGTTAACGTTTCAAAAGTACCAAATAATGGTTTAAATGAAATAAATGCTTTTGAGTTTGAGTTTGTATCTACCTACTGTAGATTCTGGCTTACAGGAGGTGCAGCAGTATTGGGAGGTTGTGGCGGGGCTTGTCTCAAAAACAAATAGTTATAAAAAGCCGTGCCTATGGATTTATGTATTACTCCAAGTTACTACGACCACACTTTTTTTTTGTTAACGCCTTGAATTTCTTGATAGACCACTTGAGCTCACCAACGGCCTCTTCTCAAACGGACAAGGTTAGAGCATTAATCTCCACGCGTGCCACTTCCCAGGACTTCCACAAATAATTCATAACCAAAATTAGCTAAATTGGTTCAGCCGTTTCCGTGTTTTCAAAGTCAAATTCAAAGCATTTATTTCAATTGAACCTTGATTAGGCACTTTCGAAACGTATAATAATATAATTGAATTGTCCGTCCGTCTGTCTGTCTGTCAGTGAAGCTAGGCGCTCGTTCCAAAATGTAGTTTCGAATGACGAAGAACGAGCAAGAAACTCCATTTTAGCGAGACTAACGAACAGCAATTCATTTTATACACATAGATACACTATACCCGCTTATTCATAATTTGTTCTGCAATTTAACAAACATATTGTACTAATCCAATATCATGTTGACCAATGACGGGGTAGGGTAAAAGAAAACCACCACTTGAAATATGTAAAGCAGTATTTAATAATATAATGTTCATTCCGAGTCGCTGGAGTCGGAGGCGGCCTCAGCTACCTCCGCGGTGAACTTGTACTCCTGGTCGGCGCCGAGGTAGGCGTCCGACATGAAGTATAGAGTGTACGTGTGACGCCCTGGGGCCCCGCAGACGAAGTCCAGGCGGACCTGGGGGGTTGGGCCGTATTGTTAGTGCCGTAGGGTCCATTGTCGTCACTAGACGCGGACTGAACATGCTAAAGTAATGAACACACGTCGAAGAGAACCTTCGAACATAATTTGTTCCAGTCAATGAAGATCGATCCTATTTATTGTAATTTGTCAAGTAGTATAACATCATTGATCACGCCTTCTATACTCTAAAGAGGTGAGCAAAGATATACAGGTGGAATATTGTAATGCTACCTAAAGGGGAAATACTCTCAATACTCTAGGTAGAAAATTTTACTCAAAGAAAACTTTCCTTTATTTTTGAAAAGAAATAAAA